TCGCCCGAAGGTCCCCAGTGTCCTCTGTGTCCTGAGGCTGAGCGCCCCTGGCTCAGTCCCCTCTGGGTCCTATGGGTGAGCGCCCCTCGCCCAGCAGTGCCCAGTGGGTCTCCTCTGCGGCCCATGGGTGGCGCCCCTCCCTCGCCAGTGCTCAGTATGCACTGGGCCCTGTGGGGGAGCGCCCCTCGCCTGCCAGGGCCCAGTCTCCTCTGAGCCCTAATGCCACCTGGTGCCTGGGGAATGAACTGTGTGGGTGGGGCCTTTCCCTCCAGGCCTGGGACACCCTCTTTGGCGTGAGGGCTGAAGGGTCCCTGTGGAAGAGGCCACCCCGATAGTGGAGAGTTCCTCCTGGGACACCCTCTTTGGCCTGAGGGCTGAAGGGTCCCTGTGGAAAAGGCCACCCGGAAAGTGGAGAGTTCCTCCTGGGACACCCTCTTTGGCCTGAGGGCTGAAGGGTCCCTGTGGAAGAGGCCACCCGGAAAGTGGAGAGTTCCTCCTGGGACACCCTCTTTGGCCTGAGGGCTGAAGGGTCCCTGTGGAAGAGGCCACCCCGAAAGTGGAGAGTTCCTCCTGGGACACCCTCTTTGGCCTGAGGGCTGAAGGGTCCCTGTGGAAGAGGCCACCCGGAAAGTGGAGAGTTCCTCCTGGGACACCCTCTTTGGCCTGAGGGCTGAAGGGTCCCTGTGGAAGAGGCCACCTGGGAAGTGGAGAGTTCCTCCTGGCAAACACCTCCCTTGGCCTTTGGTGCGGCCCTGCAGGCAGGCTTGTGCAGAAAACCTGAGACCTCAAGACCACTGTCAGGGGATGTCAACTGCAAGGGCACCCAGGACCCGGATCCATCCAGCCTGACACGCCATTTTCTGGCCTTTTGGCCCATGGGGCTGTGCTCCCTTGCATGAGCGCAAGGTGCCCTGGACCCATGGATGCGGGGGCCAATTTCCAAGGCTTGTCAGGATCTCCTGGGACGCGCCACCGGGGGCTCGATGGGCCCCAGGGAAGAACCCTGTGGGACCCTTGGATCCCGAGCAAGGCCCACCTGGGCAGGACGGTGGAGGGGGGGGAGATTTGGCAGAGGACATCTCCCCACCGTCATGGAGGACCCTGCTGAGCCCCGTGAAAGGGCACCACTGTCCCACCCTGGCCCAGGTAAGTGAGACTTGGGGCTGAGGGACCCTCCGCAAAAGGTGCCCCTGGGATTCTGAGCCCTGTGGGTGAGCGCCCCTCTCCCATGGGCACTCATTCTCCAGGGTTCCTGGGGGGGGGAGCACCCTCGGCCCCCAGCGCTCAGGCTGCTTGGGGTCCTGGGGGTGAGCGCCCCTCACCCAGCAGGGCCCCAGCGGCCCTGAGTGTGGAGGGGAGCCACCCTGGCCCTCCTGGGACCAGGCTTCCCTAGTTCCTAGGGGTGAGCGCCCCTCCCTTCAGCAGGGCTGGGCCTGGCCTGCTGGCTGTGGGTGAGCGCCCCAGGCAGCAGCCTCCAGTCCCCAGGACTCTCTGGGCCCTGCTGGTGAGCGCCCCTCGCCCTGCAGTGCTCAGTGTGCCCTGGGTGCTGCAGGTTCCTTCATGGCAGCCCCCCACCCCCACAGCAGTGTCTCAGCCCTGTTCCCTTTCCCCAGGGTCCTGCTAGGGGAGGGCCCCTGGGTCCTTAGCATTCCTTCTGAACTGTGGCCTGCAGGTGAGCGCCCCTCACCCATCAGTGCCCAGTGTCCTAGGGGTCCTTTGGCTGAGCCGCCTGTCTTTCGGGGGCTTGGGGGCGCCCAGCAGGCTTCCTTTTTCTCAGGGTCCTGCGGGTGAGCGCTCCTCGCCCGAGGGTCCTTGGTGTGCCCGGGCCTCTGGGGCGAGCCCCCCAGGCGCGCCAGGGACCAGTGAGCTCTGGGGCCCTCGGGTGAGCGCCCCTCGCCCGAAGGTCCCCAGTGTCCTCTGTGTCCTGAGGCTGAGCGCCCCTGGCTCAGACCCCTCTGGGTCCTATGGGTGAGCGCCCCTCGCCCAGCAGTGCCCAGTGGGTCTCCTCTGGGGCCCCTGGGTGGCGCCCCTCCCTCACCAGTGCTCAGTATGCCCTGGGCCCTGTGGGGGAGCGCCTCTAGCCTGCCAGGGCCCAGTCTCCTCTGAGCCCCAATGCCACCTGGTGCCTAGGGAGTGAACTGTGTAGGTGGAGCCTTTTCCCCCCTTCCTGGGACACCCTCTTTGGCCTGAGTGCTGAAGGGTCCCTGTGGAAGAGGCCACCCAGAAAGTGGAGAGTTCCTCCTGGGACACCCTCTTGGCCTGAGGGCTGAACGGTCCCTGTGGAAGAGGCCACCCCGAAAGTGGAGAGTTCCTCCTGGGACACCCTCTTTGGCCTGAGGGCTGAAGGGTCCCTGTGGAAGAGGCCACCTGCAAAGTGGAGAGTTCCTCCTGGGACACCCTCTTTGGCCTGAGGGCTGAAGGGTCCCTGTGGACGAGGCCACCCCGAAAGTGGAGAGTTCCTCCTGGGACACCCTCTTTGGCCTGAGGGCTGAAGGGTCCCTGTGGAAGAGGCCACCTGCAAAGTGGAGAGTTCCTCCTGGGTCACCCTCTTTGGCCTGAGGCCTGAAGTTTCCCTGTGGAAGAGGCCACCTGGGAAGTGGAGAGTTCCTCCTGGCAAACACCTCCCTTGGCCTTTGGTGTGGACCTGCAGGCAGTCTTTTGCAGAAAACCTGCGACTTCAAGACCACTGTCAGGGGATGTCAACTGCAAGGGCACCCAGGACCCGGATCCATCCAGCCTGACACTCCATTTTCTGGCCTTTTGGCCCATGGGGCTGTGCTCCTGTGCATGAGCCCAAGGTGCCCAGGACCAGTGGATGCGGGGGCCAATTTCCAAGGCTTGTCAGAATCTCCTGGGACACGCCACCGGGGGGCTCTCTGGGCCCCAGGGAAGAACCCTGTGGGACCCTTGGATCCGGAGCAAGGCCCACCTGGGCAGGATGGTGGAGGGGGGGAGATTTGGCAGAGGACATCTCCCCACCGTCCTGGAGGACCCCGCTGAGCCCCGTGAAAGGGCACCACTGTCCCACCCTGGCCCAGGTAAGTGAGACTTGGGGCTGAGGAATCCTCCACAAAAGGTGCCCGGGAGTCTGAGCCCTGTGGGTGAGCGCCCCTCTCCCAGGGGTGCTCAATCTCCAGGGTTCCTGGGGGGGGAGCACCCTCGGCCCCCAGCGCTCAGGCTGCTTGGGGTCCTGGGGGTGAGTGCCCCTCACCCAGCAGGGCACCAGCGGCCCTGAGTGTGGAGGGGAGCCACCCTGGCCCTCCTGGAACCAGGCTTCCCTAGTTCCTGGGGGTGAGTGCCCCTCCCTTCAGGAGGGCTGGGCCTGGCCTGCTGGCTGTGGGTGAGCGCCCCAGGTGGCAGCCTCCAGTCCCCAGGACTCTCTGGGCCCTGCTGGTGAGCGCCCCTCGCCCTGCAGTGCTCAGTGTGCCCTGGGTGCTGCAGGTGCTTGCCTGGCGGCCCCCCACCCCCACAGCAGTGTCTCAGCCCTGTTCCCTTTCCCCAGGGTCCTGCTAGGGGAGGGTTCCTGGGTCCTTAGCATTCCTTCTACACTGTGGCCTGCTGGTGAGCGCCCCTCACCCATCGTTGCCCAGTGTCCTAGGGGTCCTTTGGCTGAGCCTCCTGTCTTGCGGGGGCTTGGGGGGCGCCCAGCAGGCTTCCTTTTTCTCAGGGTCCTGCGGGTGAGCGCTCCTCGCCCGAGGGTCCTTGGTGTGCCCGGGCCTCTGGGGCAAGACCCCAGGCGCGCCAGTGACCAGTGAGCTCTGGGGCCCTCGGGTGAGCGCCCCTCGCCCGAAGGTCCCCAGTGTCCTCTGTGTCCTGAGGCTGAGCGCCTCTGGCTCAGACCCCTCTGGGTCCTATGGGTGAGCGCCCCTCGCCCAGCAGTGCCCAGTGGGTCTCCTCTGGGGCCCCTGGGTGGCGCCCCTCCCTCACCAGTGCTCAGTATGCCCTGGGCCCTGTGGGGGAGCGCCTCTAGCCTGCCAGGGCCCAGTCTCACCTGAGCCCCAATGCTACCTGGTGCCTAGGGAGTGAACTGTGTAGATGGAGCCTTTTCCCCCCTTCCTGGGACACCCTCTTTGGCCTGAGTGCTGAAGGGTCCCTGTGGAAAGGCCACCCAGAAAGTGGAGAGTTCCTCCTGGGACACCCTCTTGGCCTGAGGGCTAAAGGGTCCCTGTGGAAGAGGCCACCCAGAAAGTGGAGAGTTCCTCCTGGGACACCCTCTTTGGCCTGAGGGCTGAAGGGTCCCTGTGGAAGAGGCCACCTGCAAAGTGGAGAGTTCCTCCTGGGTCACCCTCTTTGGCCTGAGGCCTGAAGGGTCCCTGTCGAAGAGGCCACCTGGGAAGTGGAGAGTTCCTCCTGGCAAACACCTCCCTTGGCCTTTGGTGTGGCCCTGCAGGCAGGCTTGTGCAGAAAACCTGCCACCTCAAGACCACTGTCAGGGGATGTCAACTGCAAGGGCACCCAGGACCCGGATCCATCCATCCTGACACGCCATTTTCTGGCCTTTTGGCCCATGGGGCTGTGCTCCTGTGCATGAGCGCAAGGTGCCCAGGACCAGTGGATGCGGGGGCCAATTTCCAAGGCTTGTCAGTATCTCGTGGCAGCCCCCACCCCCTCACCAGGGTCGCAGACATGTTCCCTTTCCCGAAGTTCCCTCAGGAAAGCCTGGAAAGGAAGTCTTTGTCCTCATCCCATGTCCTGTTCTTTAGTGTGTTCTTTCACTCTGATGACAGTCACTGTTAGTTTCCTGGTCTGCCTACTCAGTCTTCTGGACTCTTTTGAGTATATACTTTTTTCTTGTTTTTTGTAGAGCTTTTTATGTGGTTTTTTTGGTCTCTTGAGATACTGGGATTTTGACTTTCTTGGCTGTCTATCGTGTGGAGCCTGGCTGCTCTAAATGTGTAGGTGACCTTCATGTCCCCAGCTTGCGATGATTCCTGGAGACATCTGGCTGTCCTGTCTGTTTCTTCCTGGGGATTGACAATGGGTTCTTCTTCCCCATCTTGAGTTTCAGCAATTTGGGGACATACTCGCCATGTTCTGCTCTATACCCAGTGGGAGGAGCAGCACTGAGGAGAGGAAGAAGAGCTCCAGGCCTAGCAGGTGAGTGGGGAAAGGATCTGAGTGGGGTGGGCCTGGGCCCTGCTTTGTCCTGGGCCTCACCCAGTGGTGTGCCATGCCCTGTAGCCCTCCTGGGACTTCAGAGGTCACCAGTGGGCCCCTCCCTGCACCCTACCTGTGGTTCCATTGGATGTCGATCAGAAGGCTTTCTGAAGAGCACTTTTGGACTCATTATTAACTTCACTGGTACAGAGGATGTGACACACACTTCACAAGTCATCTTAAAATAAACCTCTCTTGATTGTAAATTCCATAGATCAAGGGCTTTTCACTAAATGCTTCAGTTGTGGCTGGTCTTTTGTATCTGTAGCCAGCTGATGGTTGCCTCAGAACCACCATAGACGAGATCAATCTCATAGCAAATGCTTTCACTGCTGTCTGATTCAAGAGAGAATTTGCTTGTGGTGTTCACTGGCCTATAGTTGAGTGTAGTTCTGACAAGAATGTTGGTTGATAATTTCATTTATACATAAGACAAAAACGAAACCAGCAGAACATTCATGTGCATTGCATTACTTTGTGTAGGGCAAAGGTGTGTTCTTGGTTGAATGGATGCTAGTGTTGAGTACTGGAAGTGTAGTTCCACACACTTTTGTAGCTATTGTTCATATCTCTTGTTCATATCTTTTGTAGCTATTCATAGTGGAATAGCTACAGACATAAACATTCCTGCATTATTAACCTTTTCTCCATCTCATCATTAAATTGAGACAATGAACAAAACAGCAAACCAGCCTGCAACAGGTGGTGATTGCCGATTTTCCTTTTGTAGATGCCTCATGGGACCCGTACTCTGCATGGCCAGGAAGGGACCTGGAGTAGAGAAGCGCCATGTTTGCAACTGAACAGGACTCAGGTGAATCCTGAGCATGGGTGATAGCAAGACTTGGTGGAGAGATCACCAGGTCGTAAGCCGTGAGAACAGCAGGGAACAGGAGGCCCAGAGTCTGGTCCTAGCAGCATAGGGTGGGCTGAAATGTCCAAGCGTGAGCCCTGCCATGGCCGAGCATGACTTCTACACACATGTTCCCATGCACATGGCATTGAGGGAGGATGCAGCAGAGCTGGCAGGGTTTGGGGCCACAGGGCCAGCTCTGTCCTAGAGCCCAGCTGTGAAGGCTAATACCCCCTTGCTGTCTCCCCTGCTTCCATCCAGCTTCCAGGGCTGCTCTCCCTCCCCAGGCTTCTCCTGGCCCTCTGTTCCCTCCAAATGACTCTTCTCCTGGAGCCTCCACCACTGCTTCCCTCTAGAAGAACCCAAACCAAAGATGACAGCTTGGCTTGGGCTCTGCAGGGCTCCTCTGAACCTGAAGTTAGAGTTTAAGAAAACCATATATACCTTCATTCGGAGCAACCAACAGGAACTTTCAGGAGAAAAAGAATTCACTGAAAGCTCAGAGGTTGGGCAAATGCATCCACCTTTCTGGCACTCAGAAACATAAATAAAAGCAAAGCCACCCTCTGATCAGCAAAGACAATTCTTAAAATCAAGTGTCACTGAGGATGAGTTGAAATGGATATTTCCAAATAAACGACAGGCCAAGAAGCCAGTAGGAAGTAATGGAAAGTAAGTTCATAACTGGACCAGCCCACAACCCAGCCTCAAGCTCACATGCCTTGGGCTCAATAATGCAGAAGGAACTCTGGCTCACTTGTCCACTTCTTGTAAAACACTTGAAAGGGGCAGGAGGAAGTGTTTATCCAGTAAGGCAGGATGAGCCCATGAAATGGGCAGTGTGATAAGAAAATTCTTTTTCAGACCAAGGGAGGAAACTCCGTGTGATGAAGAGTGAAGGTGAAGGAGCTGAGAAGCTGGACAGAGTGGGCAGGAACATGGTGCAACTGCACAGAAGGCCACAGGGAGTAGGAACAGACCCAGCTGTCAGATGGACTCAGGACAAGGCACCCCCCACCCTGCACAGTTCTGGTTCTGAAGTTTTGACCTTGGTCCATAGGTATGTGTCTGTGGAAGACGATGTGTACATTCATTAGCTGGGTCTTTGGGGGAAGGTCTACTTGTCTACTAGATGGTATATAGCAGCCTTTCCCACACAGGCCTCTGCCCTGGCCACTTGCCCTTGCCTCTAGATCCCGACACTGCTGCCTGCCACTCTCTGCAGCTCTCTTCCAGTAGCCCTGGAGCATTCTTGTGCAAGGCTACATCCCTCAGCAGTGCCCTGGCCAGGCCTGCAGGCCACCCTCAAGAAGGGCACAGCCACAGAGCTGGCACCATCACCCTCCAGAACAAGCAGGGCCCTCTCTTGAGCTGCAGGACTGGCCTCTGCCCCAGCACCCAGCTCAAGGCGTGGGACTGAGCCTCCTTTTGCAGGGGGAGAGAGGCAGTAGGATTGGAGGGGAACAGGGAGAGGATGTGAGCACAGAGCAAGTCGGCTGTGTGGGAGCAGGAACTGAGGGGCACTGAGAAGGAACTTCATAGGTCCGGTCCGACTTGAAAAGGCACAAGGGTAGGAAGAGCTTCTGGCTCCATCCTGGGATAAAACTGGGGAGTAAAGAGCTTTCCTAAGTTGAGAGCTTTTTTCCTGCCCTGAGTCCAGCAGGATGCTCGACACACCTGATGTCATGGACCACCTGCCTCAAGTCTGTAAGGGAGCAGTGATCCCCTCAGTTTCCAAACGGCAAAGGTGCTCAGGGGATTGATGTGACTTTGTCAGTGGAACCCAAGCAATGAGGGGCAGAGCAGGTACCAGAACCCAGGCCCATCTGCCCCCGGGCCCATGCTCTGTGTGGTACTAGCAGCACCCTCCAGGGAAGGATGCAGACAGGGGCCGGTTAAGGAGAGGCCAAGTCCTGTCCTATGGCTATGAGGCTGTTCTGCCTGACTGTTCCAGTGAGATGACAGGTGCTTTACCAAGCAGCTGTCCCCAAGGGAGCCCCATGGGTTGGTGGGCTCGTTCAGAGACTTGGACATACCTAGACTGAAGTTAAATCTAGGAGCACACAGAAGTCTGTGTAAACAGAGTAGGATAAGTCACAAGGCCAAGGGTCCATACAAGACTAAAAGCCCAGACCAAGTCCAGGCTGAGCTGAGCCAGGTCAAGACAAAACAAATGCCAAGATAAAGACTAGGGCAACCCCATCCTAGACACACCTGAGCCAAGCTCAGCTGACAGTGGACAGGCAGCAGGACCAGGCGTGCTGAGGCAGGGACAGGCGTGGTGCTGATGGGTACTCGCTTCCTCCACAGGCAGGTCTGGGATCATCCTGGATCCTAATGCTGGCTCTTGGCACATCAGTGTGTGGATGTTTAAAGAACATGCATGCATTTGTTGGTTTGTGATACTGGGTACAGAACCCAGGGGCACTCTGCCAGACTTTTTTTTTTTTTTTTTAAATTTCAACACAGGATCTCAGGAAATCCTCCAATCTGGCCTCAAACATGTGATCCTCCTGCCTCAGTCTCCTGGTAGCTGGCATTATATGTATGACCACTGCACCAGGCTCTATGGATGTTTTGTCCCAGTGACCACACTCAATGGCAGACTCATGCACACTGTGGGGTGAGTTCTGAGCTCTCTTCTGGAGTGAGCTTCTGGCAGGTTCTGGGAGTCTCCTGAGTCTTTAGAGGACAGTGGGGGCTGGGGTAGTTTTTGTCTTTGGCTGGAAATGTGGCTGCAGATTGTGCTCCTGACCAGGCCTGAGATGATGAGTCTAGTCCATAGATGAAAGGGACAGACTGATGGGGGGACCATAACTAGAAAAAAGATCTGATCCCCATGGCTTGAGGGATGACACTGAGAGGTTCTTACTTCTCCCCTTCCAGGGAAGAAGTGGCTGTAGTGAAAGGTAAATAAAATCATAAGCCATCTTCACATGGAAAGGCAGCCTTGGCTCTTTTGGAAAATCCGGACTGCAGATGTCCCCTGCCCTCTAAGATAATGGCCTTGCTCAGCCCTGCCACGTGGAAAGGAGGCGAAGGCCAATGCAGCCCTGGTCAGAGGTGGAGTAGAAGCGTCTACCAAGTGCCTCCTGATCAGCTTCAACAGCAGAGTGCTCAAGGTTTTGGCTGCTTCTGCTGGCCTCCATCTCCCTGCTCACAGACCACAGAGATGCCGGTCTGGCTCCAGGGCTGAGGTCTCCTGTGCGTCTCCATGCAGGCCATCGCTTCCTCCTGCTCTCACCTTCTCCACCTTCCCCTATGACGTGTGCTTTTTTGTAACACAATAAAGATAGGATTTAATTGCAGATAAAATGTTTTCCCAAAGACCCTGAGTGTGAGTTTGTAGCCACGGTCACTGGGTCACTGTGCTGATGCCTCATTGACCCCACATCTGGGGCCTCCAGGAGCCTGTTCCTGATCACAGATGGACTCCCAACTAGAACTGCAGGATCCACACTTTTAAGGGAGAGGATGAGGCACAGGAGGTGCAGGAGCTCAAGGCGTGGGACTGAGCCTTCTTTTGCAGGGGGAGAGAGGCAGTTAGGATTGGAGGGGAAGAGGGAGAGGATGTGAGCATAGAGCATCTACCATTAGAGAAAGTGTCTAGGTTTTGGCATTGCATTCAGGTGCGGGTAGCCCAAGGGTGAATGAGGAGAGTGTGGGGGCTCAGATGGCAAAGTTCTCCATGCACCCAGGGTTGGGAGGATGGGGAATGAGATGGGAGGTGGGTCTGAGCACCTGCTATGAGCCCCATGTCCTCACGGACTTCCTCAGTGACCTTCTTGGTGGACACCCACAGAGCCCTGGAGAGAAGTAGAGTCCCATGCTGTGAAAGGGGGTCCTGGGAACTTGCACAGGACAGTGACTGCAGCCAGGGAGCCTGGAGCCTGGGGCTGAGCAGGAGGGCAGATGCTGACCAGGGCCGCTCCTTCTCTGCAAGCCCTCCCGGTGCTGTACCTGGCAGACCGCAGGCATTTAGCCCTTGGCCAGCACAGGCTTCATAAATGAAGGTTCAGCTACGAGGCAAATCCAAAAGGGAGTTTGAATTAAAGAGACAGGCTCTAGTTACCTTTAAACCAGCTCCAGGACAGCTTCTCCCTACCTCCAGCCTCAAGCTACCTATTAGAGTAGCGAGGTTTACTGAAGAGGCCAGCGAGAGAGAAAGAACACACCAGGGAGTGGACTTTTATTGGGGAACAAAAAATTCTGGGGAAAATCCCATCCAGTGAAGATTAAGGGGGGCAGTGTCTCAAGGTCAGGTGCGACGATTGGGTCTTCAGGGGTTGTGGCCAGACACACCTCCACACAGACAAGCCCTCTGACTTGAGAAGGGTGGGGAAAGCTCTGGAGACAAAGATGTGTCTAAGTGCCTCTCACCCAGCCAGGGAGGTAGATCACATGTGAGGATGGCCTCCCACACAGGCAGGTGCTTAAGACTCAGGTAAAATCTTAGCCTGGGAACCGCTCTAAGCCTGTTTTGTTGTTCAAATTTGGCTAAAATTTGATCTTTTGACACTGACTCTTAACAGTCTGTCACTTCCCCTTTAAAAAGATCATTTAGATCAGTCTAAATGACGGGAAAAGTCCATCCTGGTGACATGGGCTCAGACCATTTGGTGGACAATCAGTAATGTCTTCAGAAAAAATTATTCAGAGATGCGGGAATTGTCAAAATGAAGATGGCCCAAACCAGGTGTTGTCAAGGCTTTGGAGCAGGGTTCCCATGTCCTCCACTAGGTGGAGCCAGTGGACATCTTTGCAGGTTGGCTTTTTCACTGTCAAGTTTTGGGTGCCCTTGAGGGGATCTCAGCATCAACCCTCAATAAAGGGCCAGATGACATGGAGCCCGACATCCCTCAAGACTGTGGGATGGACAAGATGGAGGACAGTGACATCGCCCAATTAAAATCAGAAAATTTCAAAGAAAAGCTCCTAGTTACTTTTTTCTCAGTCCCTGCCATTTCCTGCCGTGTCCCAGCTCCCTGCAGGCTAGCCTTCCTTGACCAGGATGGAAGCATTTACCAGGCCAAAGTCCTGGCTCAGGAAGAAAACTAGGGCTGGAGGGAACTGACCATGCTCCTTAGTAGGGTCCCCAGGGCCTACCCATCTGTGTCCCAAGGCTTCCTTCCTGTAGGTGGCAGTGTTTGTGGGACAGGCAGATGCAGGTCAGCTTCTTCCACTGTTTGGCCAAATTGTGATTAAATTCATTTTTCCTTTTTATGTTGTCTTAGTTCTGATGTTGGCCAATACCCCAGTCAATCAGCAGGGACTGCAGATTCTTGAGCCCCAGGAATACAAAAGTTCTTCTCCTGTGCCTATGACCCTGCCGGGACTCCCAAGTGTCCCCAGGCTACTGACCTTGGGCCCCTCACTGAGGTGCTGTCCATGTTCCCTGCACATCCAGTGGCCATGAGCAGCCTAGACCTGCAGTGTTGAGCTTCCAGGGTCTCTTCAGTCCCCTCCTGGACTCCCCACATTTCTTCCCTTCTCCTCCTATGCCAGACTCCCACAGCAAGTCCTCCTGAGGGCAGAGCCCCACCTTCCCAGGCCATCCCAAGCTGCTCCTGGGCTTTGGGGCAGGTCACTGGGGCACAGTCAGGGTTGGAGGGAGATTCCAGAGAGGAGGGCCACCCTTCTGCCCCCCATGTGCTCCGAGAGCTCTGTGCCCTTTCCTGCTGTTTCCAAGGCCTGGAGTCCCCTGTGGCCTAGACCAGATGGGTGAAGAGGCTGGGGGAGGCCATGCCATCCAGGAGGCAGGAAAGGCTCTGGCTGAGACAGACACTGGGGTAGCCATGGGGATGGCAAGTGAAACAGGAAATGTCAGTGGCTCTGTCCCGCCCTTTACATTCAACTCACTCCTGAAGTGGCAGCCCTCATGCTTTCCCCACAGGGTGAAGATCGGGCAACCCCATAGGCCCTGAGCCTGCCTCACCAGAAAGGGCACTGGTGGGATCTGGGTTTCATAGAAACAAGAATAATTGTTTAGTGTAGGTGTGTCTCATGCAGCAAGAGGAATGGATCCCAGCAGGACTGCCTGGAGGACAGAGTGCCCCACAGGTCCACGTGTTAAAGGCCAGTCCCCAGATGGTGCTTCTGCAAGGTGGTGGAACTCAGGAGGTCAGGCCTAGTGGGAGGTTTCATTCAAGTCACCGAGGTGTGTACTTGAAGGGACCTGTTTCTTCCCTTTTCTCTCTTGCATCCCAGACATGAGTTGTGAAGTTTTCTCTGCCACAGGCTCCTCCATGATATGTTGTCTCACCACAGGCCGCAAAGCAGCCTTGGATGGAAACCCTTTTAAACTGTCAGACAATATAAACCCTTCCTCAGGCATTGTGTTACAGCAATGGAAAGCTGACTCTCATATTCCACATCACATTCCACATCAGCCTCCTTGTGCCCCAGCACTTGCTTTCCCAGCCACACAGTCAGAAGGCATGAAAGTCAGCATCCCCAGGGACTTGTGTGTATTCATTCCCAGTCTGTCCATCAACAGAAGAAAGATGGACCCAGTGTGACACACTTGTCAACAGCACATCACTCAGCATCACAGAGCAGAGGGGACAGGACCATGGCACACAGGCACAGCATTGAGTCCACACTGAGTTCAGAGAAGCTTCACCCCTGCATTCTACTTGAGGATGTTTCCAAAAGAGAAAAGACTGTGAGCTGGCAACAGAAATCAGAACAGACACACACCTACACCATACTACCAAAAGTGTTGTACAGATTTAATGCAATTCCTATTAAAATCTCAATGACATTCCAAATAAAAACAGAAAAGGCAGCCATAAAATTTATCTAGAAAAATAAGAGATCCAGAATAGTCAAAGGACTCCTTAGCAAGAAAAACGAAGCAGGAGGCAATACCAGAGCCATAGTAACAAAAATGGCATGGTATTGGCACCAAAACAGAAACATAGACCAATGGTACAGACTAGAAGACACAGAGACAAACCCACATAAATGCAGTTATCTTATACTAGACAAAGGCACCAAAAACATTCATTGGAGAAAAGATAGCTTTTTCAACAAATGATGCTGAGAAAACTGGAAATCCATATGTAGGAAATAGGGATTATATCTAACTTTGCACAAAAACCAACTCAAAATGGATCAAAAACTTAGACACTAGAACAAAGATCCTGAGCCTAATGGAAGTAGGCCCAAATCTCCACCATGTTGGCTTAGGGATTGTCTTCCTTAACAAGACTCCTAAAGTGCAAGAAGTAAAATCAAGAATCAATAAATGCTTTTTCACAGCAATAGAAATAATAGCATAAAGAGAGAGCCTACAGAATGGGGAAAAAAATCTTTACCACACACATCTCAGATAGAGCATGAATCTCCAGAATATTCAAATAATTAAAAAAAAAAAAACTTTAAGGGCTAGGGCTATGATTCAGTGGTAGTGCACTTGCCTGGCACATGTGAGGCACTGGGTTCCAACCTCAGCACTACACAAAAGTAAAATAAAGGTATTTGTCCACCTACAACTAATATATATATTTGACACCCAAACCACAAATAACCCAATCACTAAATAGTCAAAGGAATTGAACAGACATCTCACAGAAGAAACACAATTGATCAATAAATATATGAAAAAATGTTCAGTATCTCAAGCAATTAGAGAAATGCAAAACTACACTGAGATTCTATCTCACTCCAGTCAGAATGGCAATCATGAAGAATACAAGAATAAATATTAGCAAGGATGTGGGGACAAAGGTACACTCATACATCGCTGGTGGGACTGAAAATTGGTGCAACCACCCTTGAAAGCAGTATGGAGATTCCTGAGAAAATTTAAAATGGAATCATCATTTGACCCAGTCATCCCACTCCCAGGTTTATACCCAAAGGACTTAAAATCAGCATATTACTCTGATGCAGCCACATCAGTGTTCACAATAGCTAAACTATGGAACCAACCTAGGTGCCCTTCAACAGATGAATGGATAAAAAATTGTGGTATATACACACAATGGAATATTACTCAAACCCTAAAGAAGAATGAAGATATGGCATTTTCTGGTAAATGAATGGAACTGGAGAAAGTGAAAGAAGCTAACCCCAAAGAACAAAGGCCTAATGTTTTCTCTGATATGCAGGTGCTAATTCACAGCAAGGGGTAGGGTTGGGAAGAATAGAGGTAACTTTTGATTAGACAGAGGGTATTGAAGAGAGAGTAGGGGGTATGGGGGTAGGAACCCTAGTAGAATGGATCAGACATATTACCTTCTGTGCATATATGATTATATGACCTGTGTAACTCTATATCCTGTACAACCAGATGATTGAGAAGTTATACT